GGTGGGGGGGCACTTAAGATTGAAATTTCCCAGTAACTAGCAAGAATCAAGTAGATTTTGTCGTTCAAAATGTGGTATTTTCGACATCTCAATGCTTTTCGACTCCCGACATGCACACCTAGCTAATACAAACGGCCCATGTAACATAGAATTGCTAGAATTTTTGGCTTTATTTTCGTTGCCGCTCAATCGTTTTTTGAATATTTCTGTTTGAATAATCGCCATTATGCTGGAAATGATTATTGCTTTTCCTGCATATCATGCCAAATTTTTTCAAGGCTTAGAATATCCGGATTTTAAAAGCAAAAATGTGACTTGATTATTTCTACAGGGCATCTCGTCTACAGCGTGAATGTGATGTTGCTGCACTGGGAGAAATGATGATGCGCTATCAGATTCCGTTCCATACGCTTGAGCTGTATTTGACGCACACGCATACATTTTCAAAGGCAATTGAATTCATATTTCGACAGGGTTCCATGGAAACGGAACCACAACGAATCCTTGCCGATGCTTTGAAGGTACCGCCGCTAATTATTTTTCATTATTCCATCGATGCAACTGGCAATTTCTCTGTCCATTTTCTTTGTAACTAATTTTGCTATATATAGAATCTTGCTTGAAAAACCTGTAATTTTGTAGATTTGCTGATGTTTTGTGAAGTTTTCAGATAACTGAATTAGCAAATAAACTACACAAAGGATTGATGGAAAGTCACGAATGTATCTTTCATTACTGCTTTTATCTGATCAAAACAAAGGGAGACGAGCAATGGGTTCGTTCTCCGTTTTTTTTTCTTTTTTTTTCTTATTTTTAGTATCTGTTTGACCGTTTAGAAGAATATGGGCATATAAATTTCGCTGATTTAATATTTTCTATTTTCCACTCTTCCTATTTCAAAATACCTTTCTATTAATGTAATTTTTTACCAGTCTTTGTAGTGATTAAGCCCTGGTAGTTGATTTTGTACAAGAAATTCAATGCTTCGGCTAAATTTTTACGCTGAATTAGCCAATTTCTCTACTTTTTCGGTTGGCTTTTTTATCTCTGTAGGGCACTCTCCTTCCTATTTCAAAATACCTTTCTACTAATGTAATTTTTTACCAGTCTTTGTAGTGGTTGAGCTCTGGTAATTGATTTTATGCAAGAAATTTAATGCTTCGGCTGAATTTTTACGCTGAATTAGCCAACTTCTCTGCTTTTTCGGTTGGCTTTTTTACCTCTTTAGGGTTATTTTTGCATCTTTTCCTTTTATACGAGCAGCACTTCCTGTATCAGACGTGGAAAGGGAAATGTTTACGCTGGTGTTAATTTTATGCCGTTCTAATCTTTATTCAATTTTTTTACAGTTTGTGGATGTTTTTCAATGTCTTAATGATCTAAGCGAGGCGGACCGAGATCGAGTGATCGCGCATCTTAAATCCTATGTGGAGGCGGCCCTGAGTAGTCCATTTTTGCTGAAAACGGAGGTATCTTTTATTTTGCATATTTCCATAAAAAATACTATAAAATTTGAAAAAGTTTTTAAAGTTAGATTTCTTTTGCTTTTTAAAAATCCTGAAAACTGGGTTTTTTTTCTCTTGATATCTTACTGAATTGAAAATTCTTGCAGATGGATTGTAAAACTCAACTTCCAATAATAGAAGCGGTACTGTGCGTGTTGGAGCGTTTTAACAAGGTAAATTTTTTATTATTTTCGTTTTTTATGCGTTTTTTGCAGCTAAGCATTGCAGAAAATGCATATTGACGAGGGGTTGTCAGTGTGTGTGTGTGTCTGTGTGTCCGTGTGTGCGTCTGTCACGGTTTTTCATCTCAAGACCTACAAA